TACACTTGCCTGGCCAGGCAAAAATCATCAACTTTTTACAACCAAACAGCCCTAATACTCCTGTTTACTCGGTAGAGAAAAAAAAAAGCCCAACCATTTCCACGTGGCAATCATCATCAACCCAAGATTGCAAAAATTTCAACCCGATGAATAGTTGCCTTTCGTCTTATTTGGTAAATATTGTTCAATCGTAGAAAAAAAGCCCAACCATTCATCCGTGATTGGCAATCATGCAATTCATCATCATTTAATTCAGCTAAAAATTGATCTACTACTTGGAATTTATATCTAAACAAAAATTCAGATCAGGTCTGATAAAAAAGTCATCAATAATGAGTCATCAATCAAGGGCTAGCTTGTGATGTCAGGGTGAGAACACTGGACTGACCGACCCACTAGTTAATTAGTACGATATCTCGATTCTTGACCAGCAAGCTGACGTGTGAACGGCGTCGGAGTCACTGAGATACTCCTATAGGATCGAGTCCCTTTTCTACCGAACCTGCCATTGCTTCTGCCACAAGACTCAGCGCCCCCAGCAGGTCAATTTGGATGGCTTCTTTTAATCACTTTCGAAAGAAGCAGCAACTAACGTAATGGCGCAATAGAATAGAAGCTTCTATCTGTGTTCATTTTCTTGTCCACCCCCAGGGGACGAACGGGTCAAAAGGTACGTTAGCGCGCTCGCGAGAGCCTTTCTAGAAGATGGAGCCGGACCCAAAAGCACGTGACGCCAGTCAATTTTTACAACGCGACGCTACGTGACACTGCATGCTTCATATTCCTTCGTTCCTCAGGTAGTGCAGTGCATGCTGCACTAACGCTGGCGGCACTACGAGTCTATGACCATGGGTCGTGTGCCTACAAATGCAAATTTCGGGGTTAAGAGCCTGTCACTACTAGCGCGCAATCAACCGTGTGCTATTATAAAAGATCATAATTCTTTCTATACCACTAGAAATTTTTAAATTTCTAGACTACACTCGCAAGAAATTTCGTTTCCCTACCCGTCGCTACCATCCAGTTCGGTCTGATTTTAACGGTAAAGGGAGCAAAACTAGACGCGAATTGGCAATAATCTTATCCACCGGCTGTGTTGCCCCTGGGAGTCTGGGACTCCCTCCACGAGCACTCCATCGCAAAGGGCAGGGCGGCCAATGCTACCGCTCCTTTGTCTCGGGAGAATGGAGAAACCCATTGATCGCAGACTTCGCAGTTCCGGGGCCAAACGAAGGGGCGGCGGGCTGCTCGTGTGCGCGTTGGATAGCGGTCGGCGGCGAGCGGCGGCGGGCAATCGTCTGCCACGCGGAGGGGGGTGTGGCGAGACATCGTGCGCGGTAGGCGGGACGCGGGGCGCATGCGAGTCGCGTTGCTTAGCGCACGGCTGCGGTCTTCCCGCATGGGGCAGACAAGCCACGAGGCGCGCGCGACAGTCAAGCGGACTGCAGGACTCGCACGAGTGCGGCTCCGCGGGCGACCCGGTGAGGCCGAGGAGCAGGCGACAAGGGGATTTGGTGAGTATTCGGAAAAGATGGCGGACGAGTGGCCAGCTTGGCTTCAATTATATTAACATTAGTACCATATTTTGGTGTCGTTAGGACGGTATTGAATTCCATATATGTGAGTAAACTCTATGTTGTTCATCTATACGAATGACATCGAGACCAGTTTCAATCTAGAAACCAACTACTACTCAAACGAGCATGGTGCTTTGCAGCACGTGCACAAAAGGATGGTCTTTCTAGTTCTACCTACAGTTGCGGATCTATCAAAGAAAAGAAAGAACAAATCATTCTAATCAATGGGTGTGAAGAAACCAAAAAACACTTCAAATACTTCAACTGCTCGGGCCAGTGATCCCTCTGTGAGGTAAGCTAATTCCTTCCAATACTTGTCTTTTCACCACTTTAATAGGTTAGCGAATTGTTTTCTACTCATTTTTCCTTTTTAGAAGATCTGGAATAGGATCCAATCATTTAGATCCTTTGTCTTTGTCTACTACGTACCCTTTTGGATCAAGTGAGCAGCACACAGCTAAAAAGAGCACAAGTGAGCAGCAGCATAAGAAGGCTATTTAGAAAAAGACAATTGTAAAGAAGGATTGAAATCAGAAGAAAAATTATGATGCCTTGGGTACTCCAGCCATGGGAACCCGTAGCAGGGTCCCTAGTTCCCTTCTAGGCTTAGAATCAATTTTTCAAAAATATAAAAAAATTGACTGTAAAAAATAGCAAAAACAAAATAAAAAAACAAATAAACTAGCCAAAGACCGAAGTCCCGCATGTGACGATTTGTTGGGCTAAATCTGCACAACCTCTTACCTCAAGTGACGCCCCTACCACCACATCACACACTCACTTGTATCCAAGTATATGATGCTATTCTTTTGTATTAACTTCTATAAATCTTGTTTGAACATCTAGGGGTTTAAATAGACTAAAACAAAAAATATATCAAATAGAAATTTTAGATATCAAGCCCTACAACTTTGGCATACTGCGTATCTCTATCCAAAGGCCGTTTGACAAATTCAAGAAAATGAATTTAAAAATATGATAACTGAAAATATATATTTGGGACTCATAACGATTTCAAATGAAAAATTTGTCGACTACAAAGTTGTAGATCTTGTTGACCTCTACACAACTTAAGTATAAGTTAGTCTCCTTCGACTTCATTTAGAAATGTTATAAAATTGTCAACACGGTGTCTATTTTTATTGGTGTTACCAACCACCCTTGAAAATCCATTTATATGTATGGTTCGCACCTATAAAGTGAACAAGATTTCTAGGCTTGGTCACCGCCAACATATAAAATTAAATTTGTAGGACGGGTCCACTTTGGACCCATTTATAGAGGCAATTGGTGATATAACCATGTATACAGTGACACACGCCCAAAATTATTTCCCCTATCTTTTTTTGAGACGTAAATTATTTCCATGGTAGTGCAATAAAGCAAACATTGTAAGGATGTACCTTTTAAAACAGTTTTGTACAAATGTGGAGTGGCTAGATATTACACCTTGGTTCAAATTGTAAGTTGTTTTAACTTTGTGCTAACTCTTAGGTCTATATTCTCTAGTTTCGACTAAGTTTATAGAAAAATCACAATCAATTATTTACAATATCAAACAAAATTTATTAGATACACCAGGAAATATATTTTAATGTATTTTATTTCATACTGTAAATTTATATTCTTTTCATAAACTCGATTAAAGATAGAAAATTTTGACTTAGCACAATTTAAAAATCACTTAGGTCAATATTCTCCTTGGAATTTCGATGGATGTAATTTGCTTGGTGATTCATGCTTTGTTTGTCTTCTTTTCCTTTGTGCCTCTTTTCTTCGGATGAACAGGATTGGGCCGTCTGTTGCTTGCCATTTCGCTTGAGTACATGATGTAAGCAAATGCAACATGTGTGGCGTATGGCCCCGTTCAACTTCGTTTTAGTTTTTGCTTCTCCCTTCTTCCTCTGTCACAGTTCTTGGGCCTTATTTCTTTGGACTCAGTTCGTGTCGTGTCGCCTTTTTTTCTTTGTTCTTTTTATCTTTCCATTTTAGATTTTCTTTTTTATCTTTATCCAAGTTTCTTTGATTTCTTAAATTTCACATAGTTTTATTAGTTGCACAAATTACTACTTGTTTTTTCCTTACAAAGGCCTTGTTTAGATTGCCTCCAAATTCCAAGTTTTTTCTCTCTCTCTCACATCAATTTTTGAACGTATGCATGGAGCATTAAATATAGGTAAAAAAAATAACTAATTACACAGTTTGGTTGTAAATCACGAGACGGATCTTTTGAGCCTAGTTAGTCCATGATCGGACAAAATTTATCAAATACAAACGAAACGTGCTACAGTGTCCAGATTGTAAAAATTTACAATCTAAACAAGGCCAAAATTACATGTTCAAGCATAAACATTCCAGACAGGAAATGCTCTCACTTATAATGCGCTTGTACTTTTGTTCGAATAGATAGATAGGCGACAACTGCAAATATTTAATCGACGACGGTTTTTCCCATCCTATGCTATCATATCTCGGTGAGATAATCATTAGCCACTTTTAATGGAAAATCAAACATTATCAACTTCACATCATCGATCTACATTCAGAACAGTGTAACTTGAAAAGAGAAGTTTCAGAAGTACTGGTACAGGAATAGCAATAGAAAGGGAAACATATATTATGAAATAGTTATATGCAGTTTATTGTAAGGCCTAAAGGTCATGTTCGTTTTTTTTATAATCCGCCTTTTTAGTTGAAATAGTATTTTTCTTTCGCAACAAATCAGCAAGAACAATATTTCGATTTGTTTTTTTCAGCGAAGCGAACAGAACCTTTGGAAGACCTAAAGTATCATAATAATAATATGAAAATAGTTGTGTGCAGTTTATTGGAAGGCCTAAAGTATCAGAATAATAATATGAAAAGATCACTGCACTTCGTAGACCAGGAACTTGCTTGCAACTACAGGAGGCACTGTACCATTAGGACTATTGTAACCCTAGCACAAGAAGCCAATTAATACTGGGGAAATGGAGAAAGAAGCTAAAAAAATCGCATCAGATTCGTTGTGGCTCCTGAAAAAAAATTCACGGCACAAAGATGACGCTGAAAATGGATGCCGCCAGCGTTGTCCGAACTAGAATGGGTGACAAAGAGGAGGATTAGATCAACTTAGGGATGGATGATTGCGCTTGTCGGCGCCCGAAACTAAAAGCTAAAGTCTCACTGCATGTTATTGTTATTACATCATCATATTTACAGTACAGGGATGAGCACAGACAAAGCAGCAGAGGATCTTCCCATTCGATCTCGAGCAGAAGCAGAGTCCAGATCCAGAAACCGCGCAAGACGAACACACCAAAGCAAATTGCAAGATTTGAAAAGAAAACTTCTTTTTGGGGGTGCCTAATTTTTCCTGTGCCAAGATCTGGCACCGAGCAGCCGTCGGTGGATGGACGCGTGCACGGAAACGGATCGGCTCCTTCAGCGCGGCTGCTGGATGGGGCGAGGGCTCACCCTGGCGCCGGCGGCCACCCTCCGCGGCGCCTTCTCCGCGTACCTGGGGGCCTCCGGCGGACCCCCGTGCGCCCTCCACCACTTGTCGATCCCCCACGCCGCCACCTCGAGGCCTCCGCTGGCCCTCTTACCGGCCCCGGCTGCGGCGTCCTCCCGCTCGCTCTCTGCTCCGCCCGAACGCCACGATACACCAAGTCAGTGCCAAAGTTACTTGTAGCAAAGATAGACTCACAGACAGGGAGGCAGATCAGCAGGTGGAGCTGCGAGGCGGCACGGCGGCTTACCTTGACGCAGGGCCGGAGGGGAGAAGAAGTCGTCGGGGAGGAAGCCGTCGACCTCTGCGTCGTCGTCCAGGTCCTCCTCGGCGTCGAGCAGGCCGAGCGCGCCGTACTCGCGGAGCCAGCGGTCGCGGAAGGCCGGGGAGGCGGACACCAGGCGCCACCACTCGGGGGAGAAGTCCTCCACCTCCTGCTCCGGCGCCGCCGCCGCCGTCTGCTGCAGACCGCGGTACCGCACCCCGGAAGGCACGAAGGGCTCCGCCCAGGGGTTCAGCCTCCCGCCGCCGCTGCCGCTCACAACCGCCATCGGCTTCTCGTCCTCCTGCTGCCGTACTCACACTCTCGCACTCGCAGCTGCTACCGCACTCAACTGTCGCGCTGTTGTTTGGGGACGATGGGGACGGTACGGCTCTCAGGATTATAACAGTGACGCGACGGGGATCTTATTATCCGTTGTGGCTTGTGACGGGCAGGCCCACAGTATGATGGTGGTAATAAACTGGTAATTGGCCGCGGTATTGTTTGCCTGTTTTTCGGAAACGATAGCCGCTGCAGCGGATAGGATAGGATAGGATAGCGACATGGACACCTCCCCACTTGCCGTCCGGCAGTTGCCGTCGTTCCACGTGACACATTAGCGGTCACCAGTAACTTTGCGCTCCGCTCTGCGCGTGTTCACAGCTTGAGATAGTTGCTCTATCTGATACAGGTACTCCAATTTGCAACGGATAGTGCAGGTGTGGGGCATGCATCCAGCGCGATTTATGCATCAAAACTTGACAGTATATTAATATACTTCCACCGTCCAAAAGAGTTTAAATATATCCCTTTTGACACTTCAAACAATTCTTGTCCTCTATTACTACAACGTAAATAAATATACAAAGAAGTCAGAATCGGTGAAACAAAAAATAATGATTTGGAAAAAGATTATCTGCTATAATCATCTTGATGGGGAAGACATTGCAATATACTCTATCCGTCTCTAAATGTCTGTCGTTTTGGCTTCCGAGAAACAATTCTGACTAAATATATATTAAAAAATATTAATATTTATGATACACAATTAGTATCATTAGATAGATATTTGAATCCGGTTTTTTAATAAATTTATTTGGAGATAGAAATATTGCACGTATTTTCTATAAATCTAGTCAAAGTTATCGACACGCAAATCGTGACGACAAACATTTAGGGACAGAGGGAGTAAAGAATACATTTTATGGGTTGAAAAACGCAAAGTGGTAAAAGGTCCAACATGAGTTTTTATGAGTTGGACTGCTATTCTTTGAATGTGTTGTGTACTTGTGTTGCCATCAGCTTTGGTCAGTTTTTGTCTAGTATTGTACAGGTTCAAGTAGAAGTTCTTTTGATTCTACATATAGGTCAATTTTGGCTTAATAACAAAAGGAATAGTGTGTTGAATATTATTACTTCTGCTGCTTTGTGTAGGTTGTGGAGACTGAGAAACGATGTGTTTTCACAAAGTGCGTTCGAGGAGCATGGGTGCTTTTGAACAAATTTGCTGCTATGCTCAGAATTCAATAACTCTGTTCTATGAGACCAAAAAGGAGTCTTTAGTAAGGATGATTTCAGTGGTCAAGAGAAGGGGTTCCATGTTGCATTTGCTGCAAATCTAAAGGATGCACTGATTATATTCACTTTGTGTTGCAGGTAGTAGTGGCACATAGCAGGAAGCGGTCTGATGAAGCACAACTACTTCATTTTTGTTATGTAAGTCTGTGTAGAGATCAATGTCTATTATGTAATCAAGCGGCAACTTGTGTTAGCGTATCAGCTCACACAAATGATAGTTAGCGTGGATTATTTTTATAAAAAGTACAATGCTTATTTATGGCCTAAAAAGGAGTCTTTTAGTAAACCGACACCGATTGTAAAATCATCAACGTGGGATCAAACTACAACACGACGGTGATCATGACCTTTACATAGATGGCTCCTACTCCAAAGCGACGTTGATCATGACTTTTACACGGTCGGATCCTACTCCAAAGTGGTGGTGATCGTGACCTTTACATAGATGGATCCTTCTCCAAAACGGCGATGATCATGACCTTTACACCATTGGATTGGATCATACTCCCAAGCGGTGGTGTTAGCATACTATCACAGCCGGTTATAAACCGGGGGTGATGATCTAGGCCATCACCGGCGACTATTTTACTACTGAGTGCCAAACCAGTGGTGATAGGGGGTTACGAACCGGCTGTAATGAGCTGTTTGTAGTAGTGAAGATCTTGTTGATTTGGGTATTTGTTGGCTTGTACTAGAGCACTTTTGGTTTCTCACTATTAATTAATTGTTGCAAAATAACATCGACAGTTGGAAGCCGAAGTAATTTTGGAGTAACTCATAAGTCACATTGTCTCAACATGCAACTATTGAATATTATTCAGATAGCTCGGATGATAAAACTAAAAATTATTTTATTGCTAAATTTGTATAGACACCACAAGCCAAATCAGTTTCTTGCTCTTTCCTCAAACCGATTCACACGAATTGGCAAGAGGATATGCATTTTACATTATATATCCAAGTGTGATTATATTTTTGATGAGATGTTGAAAAACAGTCTACCGATCTTTGTCCATGTATGCCCCAGACGATCAGCCCTCGCTGGTGTGTTGGCCAAATTTAATGCCAACAATGAAGTTTGTTATAGATATACATATATATATATATATATATATTATGTATATAGTTTGGTTACAAGTAGACTTGAGTTGTATTAAGAGCAAACTTTGTATCCTTAATAGAGATAAATATAAGGCAATTCCTGATGTAACAAATGAGATGATTTGGTGGTGGTGCGGACAGTTGGTTTTGGTGCCACTGAGGCTGAGGTTGTGGGTTATTGTCTTAATGAGAGGAGCAGTAGTAGTCATGACACATGGCCTATAATAATCTTATAAAACATTTTTTTGACAATAACTTTTAATATATAACATTAAAGCATATTACATCAGTGTGAAAAAAGAATTCCCAGATTACAAAGCACAGTCGAGGGCGCAGGGCCCGTCGGGGCCACATGGCCCATGAGGAAGCAACCACTATAGAAACATATAGGGTCTTCGTTCTCGTACTTCGATAGCACAGCTGGTGCTCTCCTCAGCTGTCTGATCGACATGTGTCTTTAAGGATAAGTAGTCTTGAGCCGTAGATAGGAGATAGGCTTCACCGGACTCAAAAAATGATACGACAGCCGCCAGTGTCAAATCTGAGGATTATTGACGATCAACCGAGCACCTATAGCTACTTTCATAAGCCTGTTCGCTGGTGGGTTTCTGAGCTGATAAACTCGACTAATTCTAATTTGTTGTGAAAAGAAAATACTAATGATTAACGAGCCCCGGCTCGAACCAACGTACGAACGGGCTGTCTGGGCTGTCTGCAGAGGAACAGAAACGCAGGGCACTGCAAAACATGAACTTGCTTTGAATCCGTCACCCGCCAGCCACCGAGAAGTGGCGTGGCTCCGGGCAACTAAACGAGGCCTAAATTGAGATTCACAGAACTGAAGGCGTGGCAGGCATGTGTCACCAATTTGGAAGAGCCAGGGACAGCGAGCCCTCCTGCATGGGATCCACGTTGCGTCGTTGGGGTCCATAGCTCAGCAGGAGGGGCCCACCAGCACCGACCGGATCGGATGCGTCGAAGACGTCGCGTTTCGTCCAGAGTCCCCGCCGCTGTCGTCCTCCACCGCTCGGGAGGAGACCCTGATGTATTTCATCCCCAACCGGTCGTCACCATGGTAGGTTGCGCAAGCGCGCGTGCTGACGAATTCGGCCATGGCGTCGTTGCTTCCTTCCCCGGCGTCTCGCGAGGAAGCACGAGTGGACGCGGAACCGGCCCTGGCGCCGAAGCAGCTGACTCCGGCCTCGCGCGAGCGAGGGCGAGGGGGCGCAGCTGCGCGAGCCGCTGCAGGCCTGTTGCAGGAGCAGGCGCAGACCGCGGCCAGCCGCCGCCGGCACTTCAATGCTCAGGCACGAGCTCCACCACTCCCGACCTGCCGCTTCCTTGTCTTGGATGTAGGTGACCTTGACGGCACTGCTGTGGAAGTTGTAGCTGACCACACCTCTGCCTTGGATCGAACTGGATGGAAGCGGCACCATGCCGCCCACACGGCCAGGGAGCAAGCATGAAAGGATAGGAAGGCTTTATTGTAGTACTCACCCTGTCGTAATGGAGGAGGCCCAATCCGGCCACCATGGCCGCGAGGAGCCTGCCGACCTCAAGAACACGAAGGTGAGGAGGACAGTAGTCCTCAGTACACCCATCCGGGCACCTTATTCCACTAAGGAAACTACTGGAGTAGAGAGGGGCCGGCCCTCCTACCCTCGTCGCCGGCGAGCTCACCGGAGAAGAAGGGCAGGGGGACAGAGGAAAGCCACTGGGGGCGCTCGCTCACTGGGAGACTCTCGGGCCTAGTACAGTACCGGGCTGGATTCTGTTTCGGTGGGAGGAACCACTTGTGTGTGGTTGTAATCTTACAAAACATTATAACCCCTTTGGTGCAGCTCCGGGCCTTTAGTGTCGGACGGTGTAAATTCCCGTTAAAACATTAATATGCGAATAAAAAACCCCCGCATCTCACCATACTTATCTGTATGCCCGCCTCGACGTCTAACCCGCCCCTGTCCCTATCCGTTCGCCCCGACCCGACAGGCGTGCCCCGACAGCTGACCCCAAGCGTGCCGCGCACCACGTCCATCGGCCACCAGCTCGGCGCGCCCTATTCCCCGGCGCCCCTGACTTTCCGAACAACATGAAACACATCAACACATGAAAAAACTTGAATGCACCGTACGTCTGAAATAGATAAAATATTTGGGACATACACTTACAACATATGTATAAAAAATGCAGCATCCAGATAAAACACTTGCAACTTGTAGCCTGAAAATACTTGTTGCAACAAAAGACTGAAACAGATAAAATATTTTGTAACATACTGTTGCAACACATGTGTGAAAACATATGCAACATCCAGATCAAAACGCTTGCAACATACGTCTAGAAATAGATAAAACATTTTGAACAAACGTTTGCAACATGCCTCTAAAATACTTGCAACATGTGCAACATCCCCCGATCTATTTTTACAACATCCATATGAAATAATTGCAACATACATCTAAAATGTCTGAAACATATATATGCAACATAGGGGAGGGGGAGGCTAGCTGGTTGATTCCGGTCATTAGGGTCGGAGACAGCGGCGAGCAGCTGTGCGTGAGCACCAGCGCTACCAGTACCGGGGTTGGCTCGGCGGCGGCGGTGGGGGATGGGGGCGAGGAGTGCCATGGCCGCCGGGGTGGGGGGGGGAGTTCGATCGCCAGGGTGAGAGAGGGCGCCGCCGGGAGTGGGGAGGGAGTCGCGCCTGGGTGGAGGAGAGCTTTCCAGTCCCCGCAACAGCGCCGCGCCACCTCTATGGATCTCGCTCGTGCTACATTGATCTCGCCGGGGCAGGGCAAAGGGTCACCGAATCTGCGGCATTGTGGGCTCACGGTGGGTGAGGACGCCGAGGTGGAGGAGGAGGACGCTGGGTGGGAGAGGACGCTCGTCGGGGTGGGCAAGCTAGAGAGAGCATGGAGCAGTAGGGAAGCACGAGAGAGGAGCTTGTTGGGCAGGCGGCGTGTGCGGAGCGAGGCGACCAGGAGTTGATTTTGCTTTTTATTTATTTAGACGAGCGGCGCGTGTGGCAGTAAGGTAAAGTTATGGTGCATGTCACGCAACATGTTCGGAGGGGAGTCGCTGACGCCGTACATCCTGTAGCATTACCGATAGTTGATAGATCTGTCAAAGATCTAAATCTGTCGTTCACTCTAACATTAGCTGCAACACCGATGGACTGATAACTTAACTATCATTAATTTAGGTGCCAACGTAACATAGCATAAATTTACAGCACGAATTAATAGATATCTATAGATATCCTAAAGAATTCCAGGACGACGAGTCCCTCCGTCCATTTAATGGCGTCGTTTGAGCAAAATCGCGATTTCCAAGAGTCGGTCATCGTCTAAGCTAAGCTGGTCCCTCCCGTTTTTCCTCGGGTTGTTTTGCACGAGACCTAAAGGATATCTAAGTACAAAGAACCCCAAAATCCAAAATTCACGGTTAAACAAGGGCTAAGCGTCCCTCCGCGATCTAGTTTTTAGAGCGTCCTGCGATACTTTTTAGGTCCTGAGTTCGACTCTTAGTGGGAGTGAATTTTAGGCTTGGGTTAAAAAAATTTCCTCGTCTATCCCACGTCAAAACACAGGTCTAAGGACCGGCCCGTTCTCACATGGCGACGATGCCGCTGTGTAAGGGTGGGGCGGGGGTTCGGGAGTTTTCTGGGCCTGCATGAGAATGTCTTCTTCTTAATGCAATGCCTGGAGGTGGTCATATCCTCGTAGATCTAGTTTTGCGCGAGACGCCTCGCATGCCATGCGGAGTTACTACGAAGCCGCCTTCCCGTTATACGCATATACGACGCTGTCCGCTCCGTTTTGACCTCACGCTCCACCTCGCGGCGCTATGTACGATGCCACCGCGCCGCCGATTAGCTCCACGCCGCCACCACACCACGCTGCCACGCTGCTGCAGGCGATGGATCGCCAAGACGACGATGAAGAGGTGGAGTGGCCCCGTTCACTTCGCTGAAAAAACAAGCAAAAATATTGTTCTGGCTGATTTGTTGTGAGAGAAAAACAGACTGGAAAAAAGCTAAAAAATACGGATTATAAGAGAAATGAACAGAGCCGGTACGTGCGTGGTGTCAACTGGGCATACGATGGAACGTCCATCACGGCGCGCTGCATGCAGAAATTAGTTTCCGTGGCCGCGCGTGCCTTCCTACTTGAGCGCGCGATTAGAGCCGGGATAACGGCGTTTTCAGCGACGTGAGCGCGGGATTAATTGGAAAGTGAAACTGACGCCGGAAAGTAAACAGCAGCGCAGTAATTAATTGCAAATCGGCGTGGCTTTAGTGCTCCTTGTTCATCGCGTCAGAGGCTAAAATGATGCCGATTTATGGATGGAGTATATATAGCATGAATGCAGACAATAATATTTGATCGCCATCATTTTATTGCCTCTGACCATCATTCATATGGTGTTGGGCTTCTGAGCAACCTCCTCCCCTTACTCTTCACTCTCATCGCCGTCGACATCGGACCAAACCGTAACACCAGGAACATTCCTTGGGTGAAGTATTTCGAGGGTCTTAACCCACTCCAGGTGCTCGAGCAACTCCTTGTCCATGATGAGGTCGCCGTTCTCGTCGACTCCCGCGTGCAACTCCTTATCGATGATTAGTTCGCCGTTCTCGTCCAACGGCGTCGAAACCCAATCGTCATCGTCGCATCCGTCAATGGCCATCGCGTCAGCAGGCTTCTTGACCTTCGTAAAACCGTCCGCCAGCTCATCCACCTTCCTTTTGGTGATGCACACATCCTCACTGGTCGGCGCCACCGCCACATCCGCCTTCCTCTTGGTGCTCTTGGTGGATCCCTTCATCATCTGGCCCTCCCCCACACCGGCTGCCACAAAACCATCGTCCATCGAGATATCGTCATAGTCACCGAGCACCCCATCCTCCTCCTTCCACGAGCAAAGCTGCAGCGGAACAGATGATGCCTCCCCGTGTGACGCCCCATCACCGGCCATCATGACTCACGAGATTCGATTCACAACTCGGCCCCGCGCCTCGACAAGAGATTTCTTCGCGAATATCGAAAAATGGATGGATGCAGAATTGCGGATACAAAACTCGAATTTCCCTGTCGGTGAGAAACCAACAGAGAAATGCAAATAACCAATAGAGAAATTAGGAAATCAATTTTTCTGTCGGTTTACCGACAAGAAAACACCGACAGAAATAGAGCGGCAGGGAAATTCAATTTTTCTGTCGGTTGACAGCGGCGCAGCTTATAAAGGCAAAGAGGTACCCTAGTTCTTCTCGTGCCCTGAGACTCCGAGTCGGTGTTGGGATGAATTACCACTTCCTTGTTGGTAGGTGTATGGAACACGCTCACTTTTTTTAAAAAAATGTTCAATTCAATGTCGTAGATCCTCCCATCTTAGTAACTTGTTTTTTAGTCAGCCGATGGTGTGTTTGGAATGTACAAGAGCCTCACAGGAAAGAAACAATGTAACTACCATCGGTGTTTCGAACAAATACCGGCTAGTAAATTTATAATTGTTGCGTGTTAGGCCTGGATGGTGCACTGAAGAACACAAGGTTTATACTGTTTTGGGCTAAACATCCCTACGTCCAGTCTGCTGTTGCTCGTGTTATTAGTACCGAAAAAGGTTCGTAGTAGGGGGTACAAACGGTCGAGAGAGGGAAAGGTCCCAAGTCTCTGATGGAATGGTCGAAAGGACGCCAAGAGCTTGGTCGTTGCTTGGCTGTATGCGTGATGTGTCGTGTGTGTTGAACTGATCTCCCCTTCGTGGGGTGTCTTGCCCTCCCTTTTATAGACCAAGGGGGAGCAGGGGGTTTACAGCTGGGAGAAAGAGGAAAAAACCTACGGTAGTGGTCGCCCTTCGGAGGTGTCAAGCTTTCCTTTTCCCTTGATCTTGTTCCACTGTCATGGCAGATCATGGCAGGGATAGCGCGTCCGCTGAACCTGACAGGACCATGCCCTAGCCTTGCTTTGGCGAGTGGTTATGTCCCGTCCTCCCCCGGTAGACGGTGCGGGGTGTCAGGGCGCCGAGCCATGACTCTGGGGGAGATGGGGAAATGACTATATGTCTGTTACTGTAGATGATGTGAGTTCTTCCTTAGATGGTAGCGGTTGTCGTATGCCTGTGTTAGTATCCGCCCGAGGGCTGAAGGCGGCGCCTAATACACTGTGGGACAAAAGTTGGCGCCTACAACACTATTCGGGCACTATTATGTCGAAAAGGGCTTAAAGCGCCCGTCCCATCGTATTCTGACGGTACCTTCATGTAGGCGCACAGGGCATGGCCATCGATACTGCGGTTGACTCGAACGTCCCGTCATACCATGTGCTCGTCTTTACGAAGGATCAGGGTGTAGTCGTCGGGCGAGGCGGAGCCCGCCCTCGGACGTCGGGCGAGGCGGGGCCCGCCTTCAGCCATCGGGCGAGGCGGAGCCTAGCCCTCGGTCGTCGGGCGAGGCGAAGCCCGTCCT